TGAACTAAAGACAACTGCTTTAATAAAATTATTCATCTACTATTTTAATCAATATGAAAAAGTTGTAACTAAATTGTTCGAAATTATTTCAAATAGTCATAAGTAGAGCCCGGATTTATATGCAATAAAAARTATCAAAATATACCATATAATATGCAGTAAAATCATTAAAATATGCAACAAATATGCATTTACAAAATTCAAAGTTATATTAAGTATATATGAAAAAAATATAATAAAATGTAATATAATAATTATTTAAATATAGTTTAATATAATGTGTTTTTAATTTTTATTCTTTATTATTAAAATGAATAATTTAATGGTGCTCAAGTGAATCCTCGGTAAAACTATGCCGTCTTTCTGTTAATAAATGTTTATATATAGAAAATGATCGTTCACAATTCACTGACGTTATCGGGGCAAATTTGAAAGAGCTTAAAATATTTGRGTCTTGATAGTTTTCATTTAGTTCAACTGCTTCCGTTTCTGAAGTAAAAACTTCTGCGTTTTTATTTGCGCAGGAAATCCACTCACGAATTTTATAACTAAAAGAACTACTAACTTTTGGCATTTTGTACTTTTGAAATTTTATATTAATTAGTATATTTTTTAGTACGGCAACTAAACAATGCCGATGTCAATTGCCAGCACGGTCGTAACTCGAGAACAGTTTACTAAATGTTTATTTAATAAACTGTAGGTAATATTATAAAATTAAATGAATTATATTGATAACGACGATATAACAATTAGATTACGTTTACAACAGATGAACTATCTATTTCTTTTAATACGATGGGATTACCTCAACTATTTCTAATGTATACATAATATGTTACATATAATACGTATTTTAAATTGAGATAGCTAAAACTGTGTCGTTATAATTCCACGTCCTACCCCGATTACCGACCAAAAATATTTTGCGACTGCTCATTCATTGAAATATGCAACAAATATGCATTTATAGACAAATATGCATTTATAGACAAATATGCATTTACAGTCAAATATGCAAAAATGTGCAAAATAAAAATTCAGCAGTGAATTCAAACTTGTATGATTCGTGGAGATTACTAATAAAAAATATAAAAAAGTTAAAAAGAAAAAATATGCAAAAACCTATGAATCCGGGCTTTAGTCATAAGTCATTAAAGTTAAAAATATTTTGAACGAAAACACGTACTAAAAAGTTTATAGATCACTTTAATTCTATACTAAGATTATGATATTAATTTTTTCAGCATTATAAATAGTGAAAAAAAAACAATTAATCAACTTTATTTATTGTCCAATACTAGGTTGCTATTGTAGAAATGGATTATAGATYATTTCAATGTTTAACTATCTAATTATAAACACAAAGAAGTTTCACTGTAATGGATGGTGTTATATGATGTCAACTGAACTGCAAATRAAATTGTGTAGATTGAAAATATAAGAGTAAGACCAAGGATTCACTCTTGCATTAGCTTTAGCTTCCAATCTTTTTTTAGTCACCACAATGAAAACATCAATATGTATTGTAGAAATACCCATTTTTTGGTTATTAATTTCTTTGATGTACAAACATTTTGAAAAAATAATAAGTCTTCAGGGCTTCTATAAGCTACCAAWGTAAATTTCGTTTTGAAACATTAAAATTATAGGGACATTTTTTTTATTGTTACATAGTTTTGGTTGAGTATTGTGATTTTATAATAATAATTCAATAAGAGAACTGTTCCATTTATTTAATTATTTATCTCTCAATAAATTATTATTGTTAATTCTTAATAATTAGTATTTTAGTTTATTTATTAATACCCATATAAGTAATTATAATTATTAATCATATATTATTTATGAATAATAAATATAGTAATAACAATGTTAAGCTTTAAGCTTCCATTTTAATCTATTTTTAGTTATGACTTATGACGAAATAATTTTTCTTGTTTTCTGCAACAAGCTCTACTTAAAGAATTGAAAAAATTATAAATTATAAAATAGATTTGCTTAGTCATCAAATTAATAAAAATTTCACATGAATAAACTATTATCGAAGCTATTTTAGGTACATTTAGTTTAGATATTTATAATTTAGATCAGTAAAATTACCTATTGTATTAAATAGTCGTTTTTTTAATACTTACTTAGATATTTTTATAACATTATTAGTTATATATTATATATATGTATACGCGAGGATTTATCCATTGCGATATCTTCCGAAATAATGGAGATGAAGAAATTCTGGTTTTGTAATAAGAATAATTACAGGGATAAGAACTACAATTATTTCATATTTTAATTTATTTTAATGTTTTGGTAAAAAAGTTAAAAAAAATATATWTTTTTATTTAATGATTTCCAAAAACATTCACGATAGTTATTTTGAATTTGAAGAGTTTATTTTTCTGAAAATATTGATGTTTCAAAATTTTATTTTCATAATTTCCTGTTTAAATTTTTTTTTAGTTTCGAGAAAAATTGAGAATTATTTAACACCGTAGAGTTATCAAACATGTGAAACGCAGTATCAGGCGCGTGCTGGTACGGCCGGTCGAACGATTTCTGTGTGCCTAGTTATAATCGTATTTTATTGCTTCAAAACTAGAAAAAATATTGAAAATCAAGATATAAATGAAAAAAAAATTTAGAATATTTTCAGAAAAATAAACTCTACAAAATGGCTATAGTCAATGTTTTTGGAAATAATTAAATAAAAAATATATACTTTTTTAACTTTTTTACCAAAACATTAAAATAAATTAAAAAATGAAATAATAATTGTAGTTCTTATCCCTGTGAGTCTTATAACAAACCAGAATTTCAATATCTCTATTATTTCATGAGATATCGCAATGGGTAAATTCTCGTGGGACATCCTGTGCCTATATTAAAACGATTTCTGTTTATTCATCATATTGATGCATTTTATGTTTATGTTATTACAAATCAATATAT